ATATGTTGGCATTAGTAGCCAATACCTGAATCTCAGAGGCCGGAGTAAAGAAAAGCATCTACTGCCTTGCAGTATCTATTTTTCTCCAACGAAGAAGAAGCAAGCCCCTGCCCCTTAATCTATTATCTTTTATCTGATTATCTGGTTAACTCAGACTCAGGAGTCAATTATTTGAAAAAATAAATTTCATCTTGATTCTATTATAAAACACCTTTAACTAACTACCTCTCGATAATCAAAGAGAAGTGATTAAATATAAAACTTATACTCTTATCCCCATTTAAATAAAAAATTTTGAACTTTTATTACATTTTCTCTCATAATTAATAAGTTTAAATAAAGATAAGGTTGAAAAAGGTAATTAATACTACATCATGTACTTAATATCAAATCTTTCCAAAAGTCTTCTATAATAGAAATAGGAGGAACAAAAACGAAGCTCCAGTTAATGTAAGGCCAACAATAGGCACAGAACTTCTCTCGATTCTTTGCCTCGTGGTTTGCATTTTGATGTAGATCTGACCATTTATTTTATTAAATCTAATCTAGTGGTTGATTATTCTTAACTAGTTGTTGCAGCGTTGCACGTCAAGGCACTTTCACTTTCTTTTCTTTTCTTTTCCATTTTTTAATTGATAAGGTGACGGTTAAAAATCGTCATATAATTATAATAAAATCAGGAGATACTTGAACATAAAAATTCCATAATGATAAATCATTAAAAATTTTAATATTAAAACTATTTCTATCAATTTGATGAGCTAGGCAATCAGTATAACAATTTAATTTCCTTATCTGGAAACATCATCCACACTTTCACTTTTCTAAGTGTTTTTAAATAACTCTTGTCTGGTGTCTAGAAATATACATTTTTGTAGCCAAGCATGAAAGAATATTTCAGAACCTTGCATGGGAAACAAACAAGCTACGGAGGCCACGGAGAATAATCATACACGTATTTGCATTACATCCATGAATTTCGACCCCGTGAACACCATTTCGGTGGGGTCAAAGGGCTGTTAGTTAGAGATGAGAATCCAGGCAGGTTAGGTTTATTTAAAATTTAATCTAATTTGAAGACTCAGTCCTTACCAACAAGGCTTAATATCAGACCTGTAAGCTCTCTAATAAAAAAAATTAATATTTTAATTCAATAAAAATTTAAAAGTCTAAATTCAACATATAAAATCTCACATAAAATTCAACAAAGATTTAAAAGTTTAAATTTAAGATGAAAATTAAAATATTTATCAATGTAAATTTAAATCCTTCTCATCATTATCTAAAAATAGAATATAAAGCAATTGAAAAGCAAGCTTGGAATTTTAAGCTAGACAACATTAAGAATTAAGTTTCAAGACTCACACAATTAATCTTAAGGTCAAATTTCACACACCTCAAAAATACCAATTGAACAAACTTAAAATGATAATAGTACTTTTGAGAGATCATTATTAACTGGTCCCTCTCATAAACAATTCAAAATACAGTAACTGAGAAGGGTATGATATAGCGATTTCATGTTAATGCAAAAACCAAAATCTTTAGAAGACCATAAGTCTAATTTCCAACTTGCTTCCCCTTCATAATTCAGCTACAAACGAAATATAAAGGAGAATCAGAATAAATATGTCAGAACCCATGAAATTTTACCTTTGAAGCTAACTCCAAGCCTCTCAAATTTCTTTCCCTAGCTTGTTCCAACAAGATTGCTTTATTGCCTCAGCTAGTCTTATAAGTCATTGAAAGAGAAGTTTTTTTTTTTTTTTACTTTGTGGGAGCAAAATCAGCTTTCACATATGCAAGAGGTGAGAGTAGAATCTGATCCATCAAAGAGATGAGATGTGAGATGGTGAGGAAGAGACAAGGAATAAGAGGCGTGAGGTTGACTGATTGACTGGTTGTGGCTGAGAATGTGAGGCGATGAGAGAGAGATGAGCAAGGAGAAGCAAAAGGTGATTGCAAGGTCTAATAGGGTTCACAAAGTTGAGTGATCAGGGTTCAACAGCAAGGTCTTTCTTTAAACCAATCAAACACATGTCCCACAAAGATTTTAAAAAATGATAATAAGATAACAAGGTTTGAAGGGCCGTTTGGATCCGAGCTTTTTTTTTGTAAAGTTTCTTAAAGCTAGGTCCTTAAACTTGATTACTTAAAAAATTAATTTTTAAAACTCAAATCTTTATTTATACAAGTCATCTAGGCCCGACTCTACTATTGATAAACCAAAAAAATATTTAAATATTATAATTATAGACACACATAAAAATTTAGATGAGGTGAATTATGACAATGAAAAGAGATTAAACTTTAAACCAATAAAAGTTGATCCAGTTAATATTATTTTTAATTTTATTCATTATCATTTTTAACATTTTTATTGGAATAAAAAAATTTAAACATCATTAATTTGTTTAAAAAATCAACAAATTTATAACTTTATTAAATATATCTACTTTAAAATAAAATATTCTAGCATTTAATAAACTTTCTTATATTTAATAGGAGCACGATGGTAAAGATGAACATAATAATTACTGAGATGTCTTGTAAATAGAACCAAAACAAACATTCTCTCTTTACCTTAAATATGACTAGAAGAGTAAGGATTTGACTCGACTCATGAAATCATTGAATCAAATTCTACTATTGATATGAAAACTTTATTAGCGAGTAATTTATAAGTAACTCTATAAGCCATCTTTAAACCTGAAGGCAAGCATTGACCCAGTAAGCTCCTAGATGAAACTCATCTAAACTTTTTTTCGGATAAAAAAAAGAATAAGTCTCATTAAAAAAGAAAACTCCCAAAACTACTTACAAATTAAATTACTTTTTTTATTTAAAATTATAAGACATTTTTAAGTGAATTACACATTCAATAAGTTGGTTATCTTTAAATTTATACTTCATTCTTCTCATATTATAAGACATTTTTGTGAAAGATTTTGCAAATCAAAATATAAGATACTTTGACAACAATAAAATTTTATTAATGATATTTTTTAATATTATCATTTCTATATATACTACTAACTTTAAAATTAAAATTTTTATAGGTCTAATCACTATTATGTCACCATTCACACCACCTTATAAGTACACATCACTTACTACCTATCACATCATTGCTACTTGAACCTCAAGTTACATCATCATAATGTCAACAATATATTTTAATTTTTTTTTAAATATAATGTTGCCTCGAACCCAAAACTTTTTTCTTTCCATACATGTCTTTTATTAGTTGAGCTGTGATGACCTTTTATTTTTAACATGAAAAATTTTATGTGTGTGTGTATTACTTAATTGAACACATATATTTAACTTAAAAATATTTTTTATATGTTTAATATATTATTATATAAATATGTTGACAATATATATTATCATTTACACACATTAACACATAAATATGTAATTCAATATTTATTATTGGTTAATAAATATATTATTTAATACCAAATAATGTTTATTATGAAAATAAATATTTGTATGTATCATTTTATATTATTTATTTTATAATTTAAATATGTTCGTATGGTAAAAATTTTATTTTACATTTAAATTTAAATGATAAAAAAAAAATTTTTTTATTTTTATATCATTTTATATTATATATTTTATTTATAATAAGAAAAATTATTTAATTTGATAATTTAAAGATTTTTTATGTGAACCTTTCCATGTATATTATAAATTATTAATTTTTATAAATTATTTAAGCTCATTTTATTAATTTTTTAATTAAAAATTTTTGTCACTAAAATAAAGATTTAGTGACGGAAATTAAATTGGTCATTATCTTTATAAAATTTAATCAAAATATGATGACATCCTATATTCATCACTAATTTATATAATTAGTGACAGATTTCAGTCCATCACGAAATTTTTGTCACTAATGCTTATAATTAGTGATGAATTAGAGATTTATCACTAAATATGTATCATTAATTTTATTTTTTCTAGTAATGACTCATTTGATCCCATTGAAATGGGGTCCACGGGGTCAAATTATTTTTGGGTTCATGATATTTTGGTATGTATCTATAATTTTATAAAATTTCTTTCACCTATCATATCATATTATTTTAAAAGTTATGTAAAATATTTTTTTAAAACCTTTAAAAATATATTATTTTTAAAATTTTGAAGTTAAACAGGCATCATACAATTTATCAAAGGTGGTTTTTTTTCAAAAAATATATTTTTCATGGCGTATAACTAGTTTTTTTTTTTGGGTGTTGAGGGGACAATAAAACAGACAAGAAGAAACAAAAACATCTATCAAGTGTTTTGGGGGGTTTAAACAAACAATAATGAAGAAACAAAAACAACGAACAAGTGATTACCAAAAATAAAAATAACGAACAAGTGGAGGGAGAGAGAGAATGCTTCAAATAACTTGAGAATGTCAAGTTTGGCCCCAAAAAAAATTGAGAATGCCCCAAACAAGAGAGAGAGTAGGCAATTCAAGTGTGTGCGCGTGTGTGAAATAATTCAAACGTATAGAATATTCCTACATTCATGAACTCAGTATAGACAGGAAGAATTTATCTTTCTTTCTTCCTTTCATTTTGAATCTTATATATAGCTGGAAATATATCAGTTCACAAGGATGTTTTGTACTTTTTCGATATACTGCATGTGAAGACAAATGAAAGAGAGGAAAAGCAGGAAAAGAAACCGAAATTTTACAAAGCATGATCAATGAGAATATATAATATCAAAACTACTTATCTTGATGAATTTACCAACTTAATTTGGATGCAATAGTAATGAGCCTATTAATTAATTTTTTGTGCCATTATTTCATTATTATAATTTAGTTTAAACGATGACGAATATATGAGACTGTATATGGGCTTCTTTTTTTAGAAGCTCTAGGATGGTTTTTCGGCTTAATATCATCCAATCCAAACGATTCTTTTTAATTCAAACCGAGTGGTTAATTACTCTGGTCCACAGTCCAACGTGCTTAAAACAGTAGTCTATATATTAGAAATGGTTTCAAGAACCGAGTAGAGTGTGAGAGATCAGAATGTGGAGACAGAGGATAGGAGAGAGAGGGAATGACCCTTACATATTCAGTACAAATAACTTTGTGGGAAGGCAGACATGGGAGTTTCACGATGAAGATGGAAGCAAAGAGGAGAGAGATGAAGTTGAAGCTGCTCGTCAACGCTTCTCCTCTAATCGCTCTCGTTTCAAAGCCTGTGCTGATGTCCTTTGGCGATTTCAGGTTTCATTTCTTCTGCTATTCCTCTCTCTCTCTCTCTCTCTATATATATATATATATATATATTCTAGTTCCTCTCTGGGTACTCCATATTTGTTTAATTGATCTAAATTTTTCCTGTATGCTTTAACTTGTAACTAGTACCAACATCATAAGGCATCATAAGCTTACCATGACATCAGATCTGCCAATATAGTTTGATCAATCGTCTATTACTTGATATATATATATATATGTCTTTAATTTTATTTACCTTGTTTATGATATTTTTAATATCAGAGTTTTACTATAATTACACACACACACACATTTGAATCGTTGACTCTTTATCATAATCGTTGCCTTGCAGTATCTATATACTCTTCTCCAGTGAAGAAGAAGCAAGATATATGATCCCTTGCACTTTAATATATTATCTTTTATATGACTATGGAATTAACTCAAACTCACAGTCAATTATCTTTTATATGACTTCATTCGATCCTTATTATAAAATACTTTTAACTAGTCACTTTGCTGGTACAAGCAAATTCCATGGCCGATCCAAGCATAAGCAAAGTTGGCATTATCCTCCATACTGCATTAAAGTCGACTCAGCAATCAGCATATTTGAAATAATGATTTGTACAATTATCTTAATATGAATGAAGCATGTAACAGGTGAATAATATGCTATTATACATTAATAGGGATGTTCAAGTGCAAATGGAAACGCTTGTAGACCTAAGGCTGTCGGGGATGTTTCTTTAACAGGAAGACTTATGACTTTGTCCTTAATTATATTTATATATATACTACATTTCTATCTAATCAAGGTTTATGGGTATTTTTGCCCTTAACTTTAGAATAAATAATGCATAAAAAATTCATATGTTTTGATTTAATTTGAAACCGGTACTAAGCGTAGAAAATTAAATATATAAAATATTCTCTTTCTCTGATTATATCAATATTTTAATATATCTTCCTTGGGCTGAAAACCCATTGCTTTTCAATTTTCTCCGCCCAGGCTTCAAGGCCGCTGGCAAAATCGCCCATTTATGTTCGGGTCTATCATTTCTTTACATTCGGCCCAAGTTATACGTTTTGGGTAAATTGTCAGTTGCTATGGGGTATTAAAATAGTTGGATGGTTTTTGCAAAAGTAATTGAATGACTAAGGTTGATAGTTGATACAATTGATGAAGATTAAATGATCTATCATTCACAAGATCATGGGATTGAATCTCATTGTAAGAATCTATAAATCCCTCTTTAAGTGTTTCTTGAGCATGGAAATGTATACTAATCTTAATGAACTCCTGAATTCAAACAATCACGTAATTTTTTATATATAAAAAAATAAAATAGTTGGGCTGTACAAAAAAGAAAATGCAATGATCATCATATATTAAAAAAAGAAGAAAACAACTAAAGTTGATTTCCCAAAAACAAAGGAAAATCAACTTTATTTTAAAAGCATTGACACGACATCAATGTTCACATAGTAAATGGTATATAAACCATATTATGCACTGATGTAAGAGTAATTTATAATAATAAAGTTTTAAGTTTTTGTTAATATATAGTATTATTTATTTAAAAAAGGTATTATAATTTATTGTTTTTAAAAAACTATTAAGGAAGATTAATCTTTAAGATAACTTTTAGTGCCGATTCAAGATTAATATATCTTTTGTTATGTTGCTATTAATCTTAATATAAGAGAATAACTTTTAAATTTGAATATGTTTTTCAGAAATCGATTGTAATTTTAATATCAAATTTGAAAATTATAATTATAAAATAAATATTATATTGATCAATTTTAAATGTTCCGAAATTCACACTTTCATTAAAGGGATGGACTAGGCTCGTGTGATGTATGAGATATCTTTGTCGTTTCAATGTGTTGAAGGCAAAAATAAGATGTGTGTTGAAAGAAGTGATAGAAGTTTAATGAAAAAAATAGAGTAGAAAAATAATTTGTTTATGTTATTGAATAATTTAAAAGTAGCCTTGTTCAAATAGAAAGAACTTTTCCGTGAAAAAACATACAAAGATCTTTCACATAGAAAGAAAAAGAATACAAAAACAAAAGAATAAAGAACTAAGTCTATTTGGTTTCTATTCCCATTTTTATTTTAAAAACTATCTTGTAATATAGTTTTTAAAATTATTCTTCAAAAGAAAATAAAATAAAAATTCATTTATAATTAAAAAATTAAACTAATTGTAATGGTTATACATAGTTAAATGGTGGTAATTTATGATTGAAGATAATTACAATTTTCAATAATCAAATGTATTATATTTTAAAAACAAAAAAATGAAGTTGTTTTTATTTTTTTTAAAAAAAAATAAAAATAGTTTTTAAAAAGATTAAATCGAAAATGCTTAGTCAAACAAATTTTTGAAAATTTTCCTTTTCAAAAATAAAAAATAGTTTTTAAAAATAGAAAAAAAAACAGGTCATAATGCTGTACTCTATTTTGTATTTTTGGATTCGAATCATCTAAAGTTAGAATTAGTGAATTTTTGTGAAGTTTGTTTTTTAGTATTTTCTCCCATTTTATTATTTTTATAAAATATAAAATCTTCTCTCACTTACTTGAAAAAGAAAGCTTCACTTAAATTCATTAATTCTAACTTCAGAGGATTTAAATTTACATTTTTTTCTTCATTAATAAAACTTGTTTTTAATTGGTTTGTGAGGTGCAATCTGAAAAATTGATGTAAAGTTGACCCAATAATGGCATAGCGAAGCCACTCACGTGTTAATTCTTGACATTCACTTGTTATTTATTCTGGACTATAATATAAATCATTTTTTAGAAAAAATCTTTAGTCCAAAATATAGGACATTGCATAAATTTTATATTTTTTTTTACACTCATACCCTTACTTTAATGAAATTAATAAGGGTATTTAAATATTTCACTCAAGGGCAAAATTTACAAAATAGTTAAAAATAAAATTCCTCTGTGGTGATCTGTGTCCGTGTGGGGATCGAGGGGTCTCTTTATTTTTTATCATGATTTTCCTTTCACTTTTTAATCATAACCATTGATTAAATCTATGATTAAAACAAATTCTAACTTCATTACTAATTGATATGTTTATGGTTTTTGTTTAGGAACTGACGGGAATGGCTTTGAAATATTGCACGTTACATTATCCAATGCATGGAAATATATTTCCAATTTGGGCTCTTTCGGAATATCAGAGGCGACTTCAATCACTCTCTTCATCTCTTTAACAAGCTCCTCATGCTTCATTTTGCGAGGGAGATTCGTGCTACCTTGTGGCCTAAGGCTTTTATAATTATGTTTATTTATTTAATAATGATCGTACAATTGTCTATAGTCTAAATAAAGGACATACCAAGTGAACAAGATAATATTGTAGTGTTAGTGTTAGTTATCAAATGTCGTTATTTTAGTCTAATTAAAGCGTGTAGGTATCTCTCGCGCGCGCGCGCATTTGAAGTACATATCCCACGTATGGCACGCATGGCTGAATAAATATAATTAAATATTCAATCATCTTTGTTAAAAGATAACTTGTGATTTTTCACCGGAAAAAATAAAATAGGACAACCCATACTTAGCTTGTGGAACTTGTTGGAGTTTGGAGTGGGTAAACCACTAAATAATTAGTGTAGGTTTGGACAAGGAAGGAGAGGGACTTATATGATAGCAGTGACGGATCGAGAAAAATTTATTGGAGGGGGCAAAATCTATACTAAATATAAATATTAACTATTTTGAAGAAAATATAATTCTAAATATTAATAAAAATAATATATAAATAAAATTTATAACAATTTTAAAAATATATATTAATGTCATTTGCATCATAAATTTATTTTTATAATAAATATGAGTAAAAAATATTTTTAAATATGTATGCTTGATAATTTTAAAGAGAGCGTGGGGCAATTAATTTTTTATGGGGGGGCAACAATAATTTTAAAAGGAGGCAAGTGTAGTTTTAATTAAAACTTAGATAAAATTTTTATTTTTTTAGTAGGGGCAATTGCCCCCTCTATCTCTAACGTAGATGCGTCCCTATATGAGAGAGAAACTTCTTTTATTATTGCTTCAAGTAACAAGTATACACGTTCATTTGACTTCTCAATACTCGCAATCTTTTACTAGGTCACTTCACTTTTCTTTTGCTTCTCTTGCACCCATAACATTCACACACTCACTTCTCTCTCACGAAGCACACACAGCGCTCAATGACTCAAACTACAGATGCTTCTTGACTTCAATCTCTTATCAAGCACGCACACACATATTTATAGTTGAGAAGAATGGCGGTGAAGTTATTTCCAGATTCCTCTTAGTCTTTTTTTTTTATTAGTTCACCACCATTGAGTATGCTTGGAGAGAAAGAAATGTCAGGCAAATATCTAAAAAATTTTGGAGAGGGAGAAAGGCGTTGACTTCAACAGAACTTTGTTAAAACTAAGGGAAAAATTGTATGCGGACTATAGTACGAGTTGGAAATATAATATTGCCTTCCTTTTATCTTTTGCCCCCACAAAAATGTATTCAAACTGTATTGCGAGTTGGAAATTAGAGATCACAAAATTAATTTTCACAAGGTTACGTCTATTCAATGTAAACTTCCTTTTAAAAAAAATTGTGGTACTTTTTAAAATAAAGATAGAAATATTATTGCTTGCGAAACTATTTCAAAATAATCTTTGTTTGACCGTATCTCACATGCACAGGAAGTTCACATACAAAAAACATAATGCCTTGAATGGATTATTTATAAGTCATGAATAATAAATATTCATAAACATAAATTAAGGGGCAAAATTTTAAAATTTTAAAAAATTTTGCGACTCTGAAAAGGCAATTTCATTTATAAATATGTGGTTGATATTCATGGCGTGTTGGAACAAGGTATATGGCACGTACAAGAACTTCACCATTATGATTAGGGAAACAGAAAACCAGTAGCATGAATAAGTACGTACATGTTGAAGAAAGGCAAGTGATTTTTAGAATTTGTCTTTTGTGTGTGCTGCGTACGTAATGATGTATAGTACCAAAAAAAAAAAAGGAAGTCATTTTTAGCAACGATTATTTTCTGCTTTGATAGTGATCAACCACACTGTCAATCGTAACCCGTGGATAATGGTTTTAATGAGTATGAGCCCAATTGAGCAGGGAGATGGCTTTTTTTGTGGATTGAGCCAGCAGTGGGAGACACTCTGAAAATTGAAGTAGCTTGAGATATACATGAGTTGAGTTGGACCGGGCTTCACTCCAACCCGATGTCCAACTTAATTTGTAGTTTGAACATTGCGTTTGCCCAAAATTTGAGGTTGAGTTTTGGCCCAACTCAAAAATATTTAAAAACAATTTTAACATTCTGAAATAATTGGATGCTCATGAGGGGAGAATGATTAGGGTTTTTAAAGGACTTCTCCATTATTTCATTACCCTCTTCCCACAAAAAAGTTATCTAAGATCATTATCATTTTCTTTTTTTCTCTATAATTCAATTTCATTGGACTCGTATCTTATTTTTTAACTCAAATCAGCTCTAAAGATCCAACAAGATCCAATCAATATATATATATATATATATATAATTCACATTACATTGCATAATATAGTGGGTTAGATTGCATGCGACGTTAGAATGGATAACACACTAGTTGAAGAATATAGATTTATAATATAAAAAAGCAAATTAAAAGGACAAGGTTTAAGAAAAAGTTAAAGGAAGTTTGGGGAGCCTGAAATGATAGCAAGTTTGAACGAAGAGAATGACTTTTTGTGGGACTGTGATTGACATCCACGTTTGATTGACTTTCTTCATGCTCCGCATTTGGAAACAGCCATTGAAGGGACACCCTCCTTTGTCATTTTTCTTCAATTATCTCTCACTTTGAAATTTGAATATTGTGATTTTGCAATAAATTATATTTTACACTTTAATTTAATCACACGTCGTCCTAATATCACTCATTTATGTCTGTGCATGTCTTTCCTCATATTTAATTAAGTTTGGACAAGAAATCAAATGTTGAAGAAAGTAATTTGTTTTGTTTATTTTTTAAGATTTGATTAAATTTAGAGTTAAAAGGCAAATCTATCCTTGAAGTATTTCTTGAAATGCAATTAGTATCTTTAAGTATTTAAAGGCATAATATTGCTCTTAATATTTTAAAAATGGTGCAATGTAATTCTGAACCAACAAATCCAAGTGTTTGACCGTTAGTTGACCAAACCTTGATTAAGTGGCAGCATGTGTCATTCACCACACACTTTTTTTTTTTTTTAACCCAGATCAAGAAAATTGCTTTCTCTACATGACATCCGCCTTACACAACTATTCACACTTCGATCAACTTCTTCGACTCCTAATGATCCCAAGAACGGAGTCATCATATAACTAGATCACTCATTTCTCTGACGCTGTTGATGAAACGGTGGAAAGGTTCTCCTCCCCCTCTATCCCTCCCTAACTTTGTTGGTGATGAAGTGGTGGTGACGGCAAGCATGGATTCAGGAAGGCGAGATGATGATGCTGTGGAAGATGGTGAGCGCTGATCTGGGAAGGCTAGACGACGCGATTGTGGGGGATGGCGAGAACGGATCAGCTGGGAAGGCTAGAAGACGGGGTTGTGGGAGACGGTGAGCACGGATCAGCTGGGAAGGCAAGATGACGCGACTGTGGGAGACGAAACGCTATTCATGGAGATGGACTTCCCGATTTGCCGCAACTAGCAAGCCTCCATAGCATATTCTTGTGCAAACCTCCAAACCCGACTTCATGCTGCAAATCAACATCTCTACTTTCTTTTTCATCATTTCTTGCTTTGGCGACGAGCAACTATGTAACGGCATCGCCATCTCCATCGCCATTGCAGAGTAGCCCTCGTCGCACGATGCCATGTTCTTCATGGCATCAATTTATGGATTCTTGCAACAAACTTGAGCAAGGTGATTCTGAAAGCGGTATTTATTTTTGATATGTTTATTTCTTGTGAAATGTGAATATGAAATGCTGATTATGGCTATGGATATGAAATTCTTGGATGTTCATCGATGATGAGAGATGAAAATTGAAGATGAGGAAGGGAAGAGTTTTGAACAAAGGGGTCAAAAAAAAGAGTGAGGTGGAGCCATGTGTAACGCCACCTAAGCAAGGTCAGTCTTCTAACAGTCAAACACTTTGGATCTGTTTGCTGGGACAACATTGCAACATTTTTAAAACATCAAGGGTAATATTGCACTTTTAAATACTTAAGGATACTAATTGTTTCTCAAAAAACATTTTGGAGGCAAATTTGTTCTTCAATCCTTAAATTTATGATAATCATGACCTATAAAATTTATAATAAGTCATTAATAAAAGTTGACATGATTGACAAATGTTCTCGTAATTCAAACAGGTGAATTGGTAGTTCAAATCTCAATTCTTATATGTATAACAATTTATTTGTATCATCAACCATATTCATTTGTAACATTTTATTCATGGGCTTTTATTACAAGGTTTTTTTTGTAAAATCTAATGAATTATTTATCAGTCGTTTTAAAAAACATCCTTGTCATCTTTTGCTTAATTAATGACTTTTTTTATTTATCCTTTCTCCCTCCCAATGAACTATATCAATAAAAGTAATTTTTGAGAAGTTGTAAAAAATTTTAATATTTAACTAATTTTACTTAATTTCTATAATCTAAGAAAAATAGTTAAAGTAAATGTTATAAAAATTAAAAAAAGATCCTATATATTAGATATTCAATATATATATATATATAATTTATTTACGAGTAATGACTTGCTTTCTCAAGGAAAAAAAAACTTGCTTGTACCGAGTTATTTTTTCATTAGATCAAATCCTGTTCAAGCCTATTCAAGTCTTAAATAATTCTTTCAATGAGCATTTCTTAATATTATGATGGATTAATCTTTTTTGTTAGGTTCAACTGTTTGACATGGAAGCTTACCTCTAAATCTTGGCAAAAAAAAAAAAACAAAAATCTTACCTTTAATTTGGAAACAGCCATTGAAAATGAAAAGACTCCCTCCTTCGTCCTTTTTCTTCAATTGACTCTCACTTTGAAATTTGAATATTTGTGATTTTTCAGTAATTAAATTATATTTTACAATTTAATTTAATCACATGTCATCCTAATATCACTCATTTATGTTTGTGCATGTCTATACGCATATTTAATTAAGTTTGTACAATAAATCAAACGTTGAAGAAGTAATTTATTTTGTTTATTTATCCTGACTAAACTTATGATAATAGTGAACTATAAATTTATAATAAGTCACTAATAAAAGTTAATGTGAATGGTAGATGCTCTTATCACTTAAGCAAGTGAGTTGAAAGTTTGAACCCCAACTCTTATATGTATAGCAATTTACTTCCATTCTCAACCATATTCATTTGTAACATATTATTTATGAGCTTTTATTATGAGGTCTTTTTATACATGTCTAATGAAATATTTATGCCTCATTTTAAAAAACGTCCTTGTCATTGTTAGCTTAATTAATGACTTTTTTTCTTATCTATCCTTTCTCCCTCTCAATGAACTACATCAATAAAAGTAATTTTTGAGAATTCGTAAAAAAATTTAATATTTAACTAATTTTGCTTAATATCTATAATCTAAGAAAAATAGTTAAAGTAAATAAGATGTTATAAAAATTCAAAAATATCCTATATATTAGATATTCAATATATATAATTTATTTACAAGTAATGACTTGTTTTCTCAGGCCAAAAAAAAAATTTACCTGTACCAAATTATTTTTTCATTAGATCAAATCCTATTCAAGCCTATTCAAGTCAGTTCAGTATTAAATATTGACTCTTTCAATGAGCATTTGTTAATATTACGATGGATTAATCTTTTTTATTAGGTTCAATTGTTTGACATGGAAACTTACCTCTAAATCTTGGCCCAAAAAAAAAAAAATCTTACTTTTAATTAAATGCAGTATGATCAAAAGCGTGTGTTGTGAGCTACAAGGATCTTCTCTGTTTTGAAGTGATGATACGGACGCGTATTAACGTTTTATTGGCTTTTCGCCTTTTCGGCTTGAGGGGCCTCCTTAAAAGAAGCAAATTCAGGAGGAAAGGCCTTCTTCGCATCAGAGAACGAAGAGCTATTGGGTGGATAGAGTCGAAAAAACAGATTTAACTTACAAACTAGCTCATTCAAATCATTAATTTTAATAAATTAAATTAAAAAATTAAATTTTTTAAAACGAGCTAGACTAATTCAACCTATAAAAATGATGAGTTAAAATGAGCTATCCTGTTGGCTAAACAGGCTACCCAGCGAGTTGGCCTATTTTAAAAAAAATTAATTTAATTTTTAAATCATAATATATTTTTTTATAAATCTATAATAATGATAATATTTTTTAAATTCATAATTTATAAATTTTAAATATATTCTTTACATTTAAAAAATAATGTAAATCTTTCTTACAATTTGCAAATGAAATGTTTTTATAGTTTGTAAATCAATTAGTTATTAGTTTTTATAAAAATATTTTAAATATATATTATTTATTAATCTCATGAGATCTATTAATTAAAATCATAAATATAAATTTGTTGAAAAAAAAATATGAGTTTATATTTAAATTTTATTTTAAAAACAATATGAAAAAAATCATTTTCTATATATATATATATATATATATATGATATATTGATTATAAATTTTAAATTATTTTAAAAAATAAAATTATATTTTGTGGGCTAGCCCAGAGACTCACTAACCCATCAATGTGCGGTTTAGGTTGAATTTTTTTAATCTATTTATCTTAATGAATTGGCTCAACTCAACTCATTAAAACACTAACATGTGAACTGAACCGCAAACTGTTTGTATAGCTCTAGGTGGTAGCGCACTCATTCACCAACCCTGGGACCATGTCTCTTGGATATGCGGAGAAGCTTTCCTTCATTTGAGGATGTGGACAAAGTAAAATCTAAAAGCAAATTACAGTTACTTTTCTTGTCTTTTTTTCATTCGTTATTAGCAGTGACGGAGCTAAATGCAAAATAATTTAATGAAAAATTAATACTTTTTAAAAAATAATAATTATGTTATGACTAAAATTATAATAATATAAATAATTTTATCATTATTTTTTATTTAAAAAATTATATTGAATAGATTGATATAGTATTTTATTATACATATGCTCTTCATATCCTATCTAAATCATTAAAATATTATTTATCTAATAAATTTTTGAGCTTAAATATTTTTCATTTAATTTAGAAGATGCAAAATGTCAAGAGTAGGGGGTATGAAGTTGTAAATTTTACATATCTCACTTATAATTTTTTTCAAAGTGAGGGGGTGCAATTTGCACCTCTTCAAACCAATGTAGCTCAGCCATTGATTATTAGGTTTTAGTCATTTGTCTAAGAGAAATTGTTGTTTCCTATTTTTAAATAGTCATGTTCCTTCATATGTTACATTTTATTGATGAAAAAAATAATAGAGAGATACTTGTAATTTGCTATTAGGCTTTTGTCATTTGCTTAAGAAAAGTTGTCATTTACTATTACTATTCTTAAGTAGTCCCCACCCTTCATATGTTGCATTTTGCTAATGAAAAAATTGGCAACAAGTTACTTGTAATTTGCTATTAGGTTTTAGTCATTTGTCCAAAACAAGTTGTCATTCCATATTCTTAAATAATCATTACGCTTCATATGTTGCATTTTACTAATGAAAAAATATACAAAAAGATACTTGTAATTTGTTATTAGGTTTTAGTCATATGCTTGAAAGAAGTTGCTTTCTCTATTCTTAAGTGGTCACCATTCTTTTTTCATACATTGCATTTTGCTAATGAAAAAATGATCAAAAATTACTTGTAATTTGTTATTAGCGTTGAGAATACGAACCAACTTAAACCATATGGGTTGTTGATCATATATGAGTTAGGAAAAATATAGGTTTAATCTATTTTCATATTGATTGAAAAAATCTCAACTCAATCTAACCCTCACGAGTTAGTGGGCTAAATGGGTCAACTTCCAACCAAATAATTATTTTTTGCTTGAATTTTCCAAAAAAACTATACTTAAATGATATGTTTTAATATGATATCTCATACTGCTAAAAAATTCACATCATAAATGAATGAAAATGATCCATTCTATCATTATTCATTCCAAATCTGCTTGTCGTGTAGAGTTGTGGTGCCAAAACTCCCTTCACTTTTTTTTTTAAAAAATATGGGTTAAGTAGGCCAATCTTAACTCATTAAAGTTTGCCCATTTGATTTATGTGTTGTCTAGTCTAAGCTAGAAAAAATTCGTTTTTAGTTGGATAAATTTTTTTTTCCAACTCAACTGTAATTTTATAAGACCTATATTCTTGACTTTTGTTAAGTTTTAGTCATTTGCCCTACAGAAGTTGTCATTCCATATTCATTGTCCTCAATATGTTGCAGTTAAAATTTTAAATTTGAGGTAAATTTATCATTTTGCCAAAACCAATATACCAGACAAAGTCCCTAGGAACTGCGCAGTAATTATATCATATTCCACAGT